TTCTGTTTATCTAATTCATAGTCAATTTTTATTTAAATCTGCATTTAGATTAAATCTGCAAATTAGAAATCCATATGTCAAATGAAGTTTCCTTCAAGTTTCCTGAAGTTTCCAAATGAAGAGCAGTGCCTTATAAAGCTGCACTAAACAGTAGTTCGGTTTTTCAAATAAACACTTTAGTCTGAATGAAATTGTGCCAGTCAGATTTTTGTAGAGCTGGACTTGGAGTTAGATAATGTGATTTGTATTTCAACATGGTCCAGTATGTATACACATCAATCCTCTTACGATTGGCCTTGAGTCTGTGCGAATGAGGTGATGTGTATTTAATGATTTAAATATTTAGTTAAACTTGGTTTCATGTGTACTTGGTCAGACAAATGAAGAATGTAGCCTGACTATGCCAAAACCAGCTGTAGCTAAATTATGACTGCTTTTGTAAATACAATGACATGGAAAAATGCCCTAGTCAGCTTAATTTTTCTTCTGCTCAGAGAATGGAAATTTACTTCAGCCTCAAATACTTCAAATTGGCTATCGTAATTGTGCAGTTTAAGTGCTGTGAAAGACCAGAAGGTAATATTTACAGTCTTGTTTGCTCCAATGTAATCTCACAAAAAAAAGCACAGAACTATTTTAAAACAGCTCAAGACCTTAGACATAAGTACAGTTTCAACTGATTTTTTTTTTTAACAATTTAATGCTTATGATTGTCAACTGTATGATTCGTCTATTTGTCCAGATCATGAGACAACACACTCGCTGATTTTAATTAATCAGGGTGTCTGCAGGGTTTTAAAAAGTATTAAAGTTGATAAATCCCTGTAGAGCAATTTAAGGCCCTTAAAAAGTATTCAAAAGTCTTAAATGCTATTTTGCAAGGTTTTACATTTTATAACATTTTTGATTATGCAATGTATGGGTCTATGCTAAAGTTTGCCTGAATCAGATCTGTGAATATCAGATTGGTGTGTAGATTATGAAATCATTAAATTCCTGCTGGATTTGACATCACGCTGCTTTGTTTACTGCAATTCTACAGGCACCTCCTCCTGGATTAGCTGGATTTAATAGTTTTTAGTTCAGTATAGGCATAATGTTTTAGTTTTGGATTAGTTTCTTACAATCAATATTTAGTAAATATACTGGAAATTAAAATCTTACCAGTGTTTCCGGTTAAAATCTAAAGTGGTTATAAGGTATGGGAAGAGTTCTAAAAAAAAGGTCTTAAAAGGTATTGCATTTCACTCTCTGATACCTGTAAATAATCTGATTATTTTAAATCATTTCATAGAAGTTCTCATAGAAACTTTAATCAACCCTGATTTCTGACTAGTAAAAGAAGTAAAATGACGTGTTGGTAAATCCATACTCAGAATTTGTAAAGTAAGTAAGTACACATTAGGGCTGCATGATTAATCGTAAAAAGATCACTATCCCCCACACAATCTTAATCTAGCATTTCCCAAACTTGAAAATATAATTGGCTAAATCGTAGAGGAGGAGGTTGTACAGGTCTTTACATTGTTTTACATGCACTGCTGAACAATGTGGACACCTCCAAATGATGTTGAAAGAGTCCCATAGTGTATTAATTAGGTATAATTCATGCTTAATGTAATGTTGTATTCACAGCTGCGAAATGATACGTGAGCTGTTTGTTTCTTACTGAGAGGATATGTTTACTGGATCAGTATAACTACTCTAGCCTATATATTGTTGAATATAACGCAAGAGGAAATCTGATAATAACAAATGTCTCATTTTACTAGTGGAAAAAAATGGTCTAATAATATTGTCAATGACAGATTGCAAGCCTATATCTCAAACATAATAATTCAGAATTAACCAGGACAAATTTAAATTCTAATCAAGTTAGTGTTGGGCCGATAGACGATGCCATTGTCCATCCACCGATCCTCCGCCCCGCCCCAGTCGCAAACCCGCTCACGAAAAAAACACACTCAGGCCCCGTTTACACTAACACATCTTAGTATTAAAATGGTATTTTAGAACGAAAAAGATCCACATCCACACCATGTTTTACCTAGCATATCTGAAAAGCCCCTTGTCCACTGAAAACGCACATCACATGACCACACACACGCACAAAACACACACAGACACAGCCACACACACACACACACACACACACACACACACACACACACACACACACACACACACACAGCCTGACACATTGTCATGCACTCCTCTGAGCTCCAGAGAGCAGTGCACATCAGACAGTTTATCAAGGATGTACCGCTGGATCGCGTCTCACTGTAGTTGTTAAACGTGACAATCAGACATCCTAAGTCTCCCGGAACCTCCGGGAGTCTCTGCATTTGGTGGATAGCAAACGAGTGATAATCTCCCGGAAATTGCGCATCTCTCTCCTGGTCCTCAAATAAGTCATGCACCCTTCTCATCTCTGGATCCCTACTCGCTCTTCAGACACGTCACGTGCGTACTATCAACCCAACCCCCCCGCTTTATACATGACGATGATGCCATTGTCCATCACGATGTTTCACATATGAGAGTAACAATTATAATGGCCTAATCATATTAACCTCAATTATACATATGCAGTTGTGAAAATTGTGATTGTCATTTTTGCCAGAAACGTGCAGCCCTAGCACGCACACACACACACACACGCATACACATACACAGACACACACATACACACACACAGACAAACACTCACAGACAAATAGACAGAGTGAACAAATAACAGGAGCAGTGATCATCAACTTTAGCTATAGTATTGTGCCCGGGGAGCAGTTGTTAAAAAGTAATAAGTCCAACTATTTTTTTTTTAGATGACAACAGCTCTAAATGTGGAACAGTCAGTGTCTTCAGTTGGTCTCCTGATGTGTGGTCTGTTTTGCAGAGAAAAATGTTAATTACTAATAAAAAAACTTACAGATAAAAAAAAAATACAGATTGAAATTTAATGCAATCATGGCTGAGAAGAGGCTATAAAAGTGGATATGCTTGTAGGTACTTTTTAATTTAGACCAGGGGTGTCAAACTCAATTCCTGAAGGGCCGAAGCCCTGCACAGTTTAGTTCCAACCCTGCTCCAACACACTTACCTGTAGGTTTCAAACAAGCCTGAAGGACTCAATTAGTTTGATCAGGTGTGTTTAATTAGGGTTGGAACTAAACTGTGCAGGGCTGCGGCCCTTTTGGAACTGAGTTTGACACCTGTGATTTAGACCATTTAGACCATATTTAGACCATAGACCATATTTAGACCATAGACCATGGTTATGTCATTTGCCCAATAACAATTCCTGCTTGTATTCAAACTATTTCATAACTGTAACAGGAGCCAATTCAAAACTTAATGTAAAGACAGCAACATTATTCATTAATATGTGCCTCTTTCTGGATTCTCGGAAGCTATAGAAGTTAAACTTGGAAAATACGTTGTGACCATCGTTTTTGTTTTCATCACTCAAAATGGTCTATAAGCATGAAACATCAGCTTGGCAAAACTTTCTCATTTTCAGCTATGTTTCTTCTTTGTTTTTATGTATATTTAAAGATATTGTGAGAATGGAAATGACAAGATGCACTTAAATTCCAAAAATGTGGATACAAATCGTATGCACTACATTGAATCTGGTAATATTTTTAATCAGTAAAAGGATGTGCTCATAAAATTATAATGAAAACACATCGACTGAATAAAGTCTTTGATTTACATGCAAAAAATACTGGACTGGCCTTGTTTGAGGTTGTTGTATGAATGATTCTAACAGAGTCTGAGTGTTTTGTAAGTCCATCACTGAAAGGATTTAGTATTTGGTTATTTGCCAGTGATTGTTATTGTGGCTTGTGGCTTCTGCTGCTTAAAACCACATTTATTACGTAGGAAAATTATAAATGTGTTGGTAGAAATACAATTTGAAACATGTTTTGTTAATATAGCAAGTAACATGTAGTGTTGTCCATTTCTTCTATTCATTATGGTACCATGGTACCTCATGGTGCCCCCTTGGAAGCAAGCACACAAATGCTCATAAATTTGTTTCGCAAATGAGCTAAATGTTGTTTAACACTGTTGTTTAACGCTTGTTGCTTTTGGTGTTTTTGACTGGCTGAACAGGAATCAAATCTGTAATAATCGAAGGTTTTCATGCTGTAACCATTAAACATCATGCCCACTCAGCACAGATGCACAAAGGCCCTATTTACGTCTAGTATTAAACATGGATTTTCATTGTGGTTGAAACATGAGCTTGCCCACTTTGGAGCAATTGCAGAGGTAATCAAAAACACATTTCATTCGATTGGTGTTGAAGTGACGTGCATGTGGTCAAATGTGTTCAAACAGTCATAAAACAGCACTTTCTCACCACCTACTGAGCTCATTCATAAACATAACAGGATGGCTTTTGAAGCGTTGGACAGATGGATTCAAACATGGAATTGAAAAAATTCAAGAGTCATAAATATAAACATGTCTGATTTGTCAAGGCTAAATCCAACTCGATCATTAAAATAATGCTAATAAAGCCAGACATCATTAATTTGTAAGTCTCAAAGCAGGTCATGTTGACTACAAATTGGTCCCAAAAGGTTCAAGTCTGCATCATGTGTTAAAGTTTTATTTTAATTTGGGTTGAAATCACAACATTTTAAGTAGTGTTTGTTCTGTGATTTATATTTACTTATTTATGGTTGTTTACAGGCAATTGATTAATGCACAAGTAATTATAAGGTCCCTTCCTTGAACATGAGTGACTAAGACTGTAAACTTGGATGCAGTGATTAAACTAATCAACGTCATTTTGTGTAATCAAGAGTTAAATTGGTGCAGAACGTTGCACATTAACACTTCAAAATTCACACTACGCTACTGAACTTGGCTCATCAGCCATTGTTTGTCATTTCATTTTTACTTGTTTAAACATAGGAAAACCCTTTACTAAAGGAATCAAAGCAAACAAATGGCTTTAGAGTGTGTATCTCTCTGTGTGTTCTCAGTTCTTCAAGCTCTAAAGTGCTGGTGCACTTTGTAAATCAGTCGGGGGTGAAGAGCAGCGTATTTGTCACAGAGGGAGAGACTCTGCTAGATGTTGTCATCAAGAAGAATCTTGACTTCAGTGGCTTTGGTAATGAAACCATTTATGTGTCATTTTGGCTCCATGTGATTTCTGTTTTTAAGAAGTTGTCTCATTTTAATCTATTGTAGCCCATATTAATAATGTTTTACTTAAAGACTCTTTTAAAGCCTAAAAATACCATATGTTTGCAGCTATTTAAGAAACATGCTACTGTAAATGAACATACTTGTTTATCTGAAAAACAGTCCTGAAGTCAGTTATTCTCTTTTGAAAATATGACTTTGTTTTGGTAACTAATTAATTATTTCATTTTAGTCATTAATGCTGCCTAAATGTATGTGCCCTTGGCTGGAAATGCAAAAATGAGACACAAATTCTGTGTAGTTAAAATCCACATGAGGTGGATTTAAGTGACTAATAATATAAATATTATAAACACAAACATTAGCTAAGCAGATTATATTGTAACACTGTGTCCTAACAACACAAGACAAGATTTCTGCAACAATCAATTTGTTTGTCTGCATGCAACGCAACATGACAAACACATTTAAATAGAGCCATTCAGAAGCACTTGTTGGTTTGCACATGAGTCAGAGTTCCAAGGTTCAATTTCAGTATTCATTAATGCACAAGTAATTATGAGGTTATAAACATTTATTTTCAGAAATTGAACGTTGGAACTCTGATTCACTCCCTCAGCATGTACTTTTAATATTGTTAAAGAGGTTTAATATGTGTAAATTAGACCATAAACCTTACTATTTCGTTAGAGTGGCGTGCACTATTCTGTGCTTCTGAATAGCTGTATTTAAATGTTTATGTTGTGTTGCGTGTTGTAAAGACACAGTATTACTAGTTATGTGTTTATTTCATTTGAAAGATTGAGGTAAATATCCTGCTGTTTTCAGTATGGCAATAATAGTATGGCATTCAAACTGAAATTAGTACTGAATAAAGCACATTAATCAACACCTGAGGTGATAATTGTCAGTGTTTTATGCTATTGTTTAGCCTTGAGAAATAATAACTGTTTGTAGTATAATAATTTCAGCTAATGGTTAAGACAAAAACTCTTTTTAATATGGAAAAAATGAGTTTCCTCACATGCAGTTATGACATTTTGTAGGCTCGATAGTCAGGCACGCTCGCTCCTGTTGGTGCTTTCATGAATCATTGGAAGAGGGGCCTAATGAAAAAGTGTTTTGATTTTCAAGTGCAATACCTAGTTCAACCACTGGGTGTCAATCTTACATAGTGCACCTTTAAAGTTTGCATGAGGTTCAGATACTTGTGGACTTTTCCTCGGCATTTAATAATGTGAATCCTAATACATTTAATACTTTTATTTTAGCAAAGAAACTTGTAGATGAATTTGATGCGAGTCATGGATTGGTTTTATGGATTTTAGACTTTTGGACATGCAGGCAGGAAAGAGTCATGTTGAGCAGAGTGCTTTCAGATATGCTTTTTACATCAAAAGGATCTCCACAGGGTTGTGTACTGTCCTCAATTCTTTTTATATTATACACAAATAAATGTCATAGCAGTAAGGAAAATTGCCATATAATTAAATATGCTAACGACACAGTTATTTTATCCTTGTATACAACAATTTTTTATACAGTTTTGCATACAGTTTTTTAAGTGGTGCAAAGAAGCTGAACTACAACTAAATATCACAAAAACGAAAGAGATGGTGATTGATTTGAGAAAAAAATGCCTTAGAAGTGAAACCAGTGTATTTTAACGGAAAACAAGTTGAAAGGGTACAGGAATATAAGTATCTTGGAACAATATTTGATACCACATTAAAGTTCCAGCTGAGCTCAGAAGCTGTTGCTAAGAAAGTGCATGAGAGAATGTATGTTCTTTGAAAACTGTGTAGAAAAACGTACACTGACAAGAACTTTTTATACCACCTATATCGAGAGTTTATTAAGCTTTTCCTTTTTATGCTGGTTCTCCTCACTTTCCGTTAGAGACAAAAATCACCTTCAAAGCTTAGTCAAGACTTGCTCCTAGATTATTGGTTTACCTCTGCGGAGTCTAGCAGAGTTACATAAACAGCAAATGTTAAGGAAAACTCAAAAGTGTGATGAGAGACGACTCCCGTCCTCTAAAGCCTTTTTTGTTCTGTTGCCCTCTGGAAGAAGATTAAGAAGCATCAAATGCTCTTCTAACAGATATAAATTTACCTTTGTTTCTGAGGCAAAAAAGCTTTACAGCATTACATTTTATCAAGTTTTAAATAAAAAAAAAATATATATGGGTCTTTCCTATGTTTTTTTAGTACTTTTTATGAAGTTATTATGAATCAAATCAAATCACTTTTATTTTCAGCATGCTGGATTGTGTTTTTTAATACTGTTTGTTAGTGATTAGTCTCTTTATGTGTTTGTTCTATCATGAAATGCTTCTACCTTAATCTATTTGCCCCTGGTGATAAAGTTGTTCAACTTAAACTTAAAAAGATAATGCTCTTTGCAACATAAATTTGAGTTACTGGATCTGGAGGTCTGTACACCAATTTCTTTCACTCCAGGTTATTTTTGCTCAGTTCTCACACACACACAAGGCTTCAGACTTTATGCTTGTTGGCTTTGTTGAGGCAGGAGAATATCCAGCTCTGCCTGTAAACATTTTTCTTTTGTGATAGATGAATAACATTTTGTCAGTAATTACTTTACTTGTGTATATAAAAAAACAACGCATTCAAAGTTTTATTGAATCAATTAAACGTATTACATTTTACAAACATGTAAGACCTTGTTTATTTAGACTGTTTGGATGATATGGACTTATGAACATATAAAATGAATAAAAGTGTGCTTGTGGATGTGTGTGTGCGCGCATGTGTGTGTCTATATTAGGAGCATGCGAGGGCACTCTGGCCTGTTCCACCTGTCACTTGATATTTGAGGAGAATGTGTTTGACAAACTGGAGCCAATGGTGGATGAAGAGATTGACATGCTGGATTTGGCTTACGGAATCACCAAGACGTAAGAATCCTGGATTTAATATATAAAGCTTGTCTGATTAAGTCAGTAATGAGTGCTAAAAATGTCCATAAATATTTCTATAATAATAACAACAATGCATATTATAGTTTAATTAGAGTGTTATGTTGTTTTCATTCATTTAAAATATTTATTATATATTCATTAAGAATGAAATGGACTAGAATTAATATGGCATGATGAAATATTGACTAAAAGTACAGGTAAACAGCAAACTTTCCTTTATTAAAACGTATAGCTCTTTTTTTTTTCTCTGCAAATTGTTGCAATGATTTTTTGGTGCTGTTTTCTCATTGGCTCAGATCTCGATTGGGTTGTCAGGTGACTGTGGAGCGCTGGATGGACGGAATGACTGTTCGCGTGCCACAAGATATCAAAGATCAACGAGGAAAACAAGAGGCTGTGAGCAGCAAATGATACACAAGTGCTTATACTTCAGACTTAAAATAATATATATTGTATATAATAACTATATACAGCATAACAAAAACAGTACTTTTACTTAGGATTAAACAATGGACAAATTTGTTTTCATCTTGTTCTATTCTGATTACATATGAGTATGGTGCAATATAATTTCACAAAGCAATAAAATGGATGTGACCTACCAGTATGGCTCTGCATATTATCAAGCTTAATTTTAGCTCAGCAATTAATCGGATGACTGTGCCTTGCCTGAAATGATACTGTGAGTCTGAAACTCGCTCAAGGTGGCTTTTTAAAATGTATTATAATATTTAAATTACTTTGAAGAGCAGAGGCGGATTTTATTAGTGTCCGAGGCATGCTGAAGATCCAGAAAATATAAAACTGTTCCGTTAATATATGTATGTATTAGGGATGTAACGGTATCAGAATTTCACGGTATGGTAATACCTCGGTATGAATGTCACGGTACGGTATTTATTAAATCATTTACAGGAAAAAACTAAACTTATGAAAATACTCCAAAAAAGTGCCAAAAGTGTCAATGACATACAAATTAGCCATCTATCTGTAAGCTTTGAAACAGGAACTTCAATTTTAATAACAAAAAAATATTAAACCATGTAAAAAAATTAAGTTTCAATTTAGTATTGTTGAAAACTCATCACATTCAACATTTAATCACTCACTCACTTAGATAGAGATGGGTTTAAAGGAAAATTATCATATAAATATAATCTGGTAAAAGCTGGTATCTCTGGGTATTTACAATGTCCCCTGCAACAGAAAAAAACCCTCTCATTTGGGACTGAGGTTTCTGGGACAAGAGAGATATGACTTGGCCCAGGTTGACAGCAGTGGGTAACGTTGTGCATTGTCTTTCCCCCACTTGAGAGGACAAACCATGATGAGATAGAGGTCTCATGTCTGCATCAATCTGAACAGTGTGCTGTGTTTCTGCAGTCCCCATGACTGATTATTAGTCCTATTCCCCAACTTGCAGGCACGTGCACACACAGGGCTCAACCTGTGCAGTGCACATGCTCTTTTTAGTCTTGGAAAGTGCCCCCGCGACGCGACATACCCTCCGTCCCGCTTTACAGTACGCGCGAGACAACACAGCTGATCAGAACGCGCGCGACAACACAGCTGATAAGAACTCGCGCGACAACACAGCTGATCAGAACGCGCACGACAACACAGCTGATCAGAACTCGCGCGACAACACAGCTGATCAGAATGCGCGCGACAACACAGCTGATCAGAACGCGCGCGACAATACAGCTGATAAGAACTCGCTCGACAATACAGCTGATAAGAACTCGCGCGACAACACCGCTATTCAGTACGCGCGCGGCGACAACACCCGCTTTAGGGTTTTCCAGCTCTTTTTCATCCCTGCTTCTAGCAGCACACTCCATTTCCGCATTACTGGATCTGTAGCGACAACAGACCGCAAGGGATTATGGCCAAGCCTGGGCTGATGGGAATTGTAGTTTTCGCTACCTCCCGTTCGCTTCATTCGCCTGAGCAAATTTTCTCAGAAGATCTATAGTTTTACCGAGTCATGCGACTACGGTAATATCGAAAAAAATTAATATTGCGGTATGACGGTATTTACAATACCGTTACATCCCTAGTATGTATATATGTGTGTGCATGTGTATGATTGGAGTAATTTTTTTAATTTTCCAGAGGAAAAGGCAGAGGAAGGTTGTATAACTCTTATTTTTATCCACGATCTTACTTTCTCTCAGATTTCACTCCTCAGAGCGTCTGGCATCATGTATCTCACCCAGGACATGCGTTAGGGCTTCCGCTATCATAATAAACCTTTAAAACTCGTCAATGGCAGGTAAGCGTTTTCTCTGGTAAACTGCAGGGAAAGATGTTAACAAAAACATTTATCGATTTTATGCACACCATAATATCAGCCATACATGTAAAGCAAAAATAACGTTCTTCAATTGAGTTACGTCTAGCAGTTGTCATCCTTGAATCAACCTCTATGATTGGAAGCTGCTTGCTTTTCTGTCTCAACCATTGCTTAGTTTGTTAGATGTTTGCTTCAACGCTTTTTTGTAGTCTGAAGCACGTCAAACACACAAAACACCCAATTCGTGCCACAGGATGTCTAATCCTATCATTGCACTGACTTCAGATGTAAATCACTTTAAGAGCGCATGTGAGATGCCATTTTTCAAGAGATACTCAAATACATCACTTGTACTGCGAACATCTATAGGTCAAGTAAAACAATTAATTGCAAACTGAAATAAATATACTTTCATTATATGGTTTATAATTTGATGTTTTATGAGATTATTTAATTTTTTTTGCAATTATTTTGCGTTTAAATGAAGAATTTTGCATGATTGTGGAAATTTGCAACTTTTGGTTGATTTTGCGTTGGATTTAATGAATCGTGAAAAACTAGGGGGTCTGATAGACAGTGACGTGTCAATACAAATAAATAACTACTATCACAAAAGCAAATACACCCCATAAACAACCTCAGAGCTCAAAAAAAGGTCTGTTTTTATTGTTAAAAACTACATTTCCCTGTGGAGACTATTGTGCGCTATGATATAGTTGTGGACCCTTGTATCTCCCAGCATTCATTCTAGAGAATTACAGTGTAGCTCTGGCTTGTATGATGTTCTGCTTTGTATTAAAAGAAGCTAAAAGTTTTCTGTCAACATGAGTGCATGGACCAGGGGGGACCAAGTTTTAGCACTCACTCTGGTCCCCCGGGTTCTGCGGTGGTTGGGGAAATTCTAAATTGAACCCAAATACTTAATTACAATTGGCTTAAGATTGGCAACCAAAATTCGTGACATTTGCAACCTGCAGAATCTGGGAATTAAAAAAAAAAACAAAAAAAACATGCGAGTACATAAACAGTATGTTTGATGCTATTAAGGTAATTTTTTTCTACATGGTTATTGTACTACACTACACCAAATTAACTAATAGCATCATGTTTTCACCATTTTTAATATATGCCCAGTGTTTTTATTCATATTTCCCAAGTGTATGTCGTGTATGGCAAGTAGAGGAGAAATTTAGATTCAGCTCATTTGCATGCCTGGAAGTGTAAAACCACATGTTTCTATTTAAGTGTGAACACCGTCACAGAGTGGGCACTGCAGACTATTGTCGTGTTATTTTATGTGACCTTATGAACAAATACAAGGGCAATCTTCATGCTGGTCTGCAAAATGTTGTACATCCAAAAATCCCAGGTAGTAAACACAAGAATAACCTCATTGGCCCTTCATAACCTTGACTTTAAGCCGCTGTCGAGCACTGCATGCAACACCTGCAGTATAACACCTGGCATTGCAGATTTTTTGCTTGAAGAAAGATGTACTTTTCAGTAGATTGATATTCCTGAGACATTCAGTGTTTTCCTTTCCCTACTACAAATGTATTCAATTATTCAGCTCATGGCAAACACACTCTATTCATACAAATGTTATGGCCAGAGAAAATCACATTGTTGAATTTGACCAGTGTCAACCAAATGGCTCTCTTTTAATTCAAAAGTTAGATTAAGAATTTAGCGCAGGAAGTTGATGTGAAATGGCAGGAACTAAACTGTATTTAACTGCAATGAGGTATATGCACTCAGATATTTTAATTTTCAGCTAGCCAACCCAAGCTCCTCCGTTAAACTGTCTTGCCATTACAAAATGGCCACATTTAGAATCTGATTTAATTAAAAATGAATGATCTTCATTGCCTGATAGATTAAGAATATAAAGTGGGACTCAGACCAGACTAGAAGCACTACATTAAATTCCATTTTCCCTGCATGTCTTTAAAATATGAAAACTTATAGAAAATCAGTATTTTCAATGGAGTTTCTGCGCTAGCCTAATGCTACTGGCAGCACTACACAGCCATCAGTGCACAGTCAAAAAAAAACGTTCATCTCGTTTTACACTTGAACAACTAAATGAATGCTTAAGTCTATTTAACTGATTGTATTTTAATTACAATACAACATTAATGCTGTAATTATATAGTCACATTAACTTTCATCAGAAGTTTATCGTTGGCTGAACAGCTTTAAAAGTGCAGATTGAAAAAATTTAATCGAGTAACACTGTTAATTACTCTAGAAATATATATATATATATATATATATATATATATATATATATTTAATTTGTTACAAAGAAAACATTTTGTAGACTTGGTGAAATGTGATTTAATTTGAATTCAACATCTGTTGTGTGCCAAAGTCCCAAAGGTGATTCAGAAAAAAAACATTGGACCAAAGCCTTAAACTTAAGCTAATCTAACAACCTTGTCAACACTGGTATTTCTTCTGAAATGAAAGCAATGTTTCAAAGATGTCATTTCTAAAGGAGGAATTTCAATAATTAATGTTCTCCTTAATCAAACTTTGCACACTGATTTAAATAACAAAACTTAACAAACATTAGATTTAATTATCAGAAACACACACACACACACACACACACACACACACACACACACACACACACACACACACACACACACACACACACACACACACACTTACACATGCATAGCAGCACATGCTGACAAAAGAAACTCATAAGTATCTTCTTCTTTTTTCTCCAAAAATTCCAAGTATTAAACACAAGAATAACCTCATTGCCATTTCGTAACCTCGACTCTAGGAGCACTGCATAAAACAGCTGCAGTAATACACCTGGCGTTGCAGATGTTTTGCTTGAAGAAAGGTGTTTTTGTCAGTAGATTGATTTTCTTGAGACATTCAGTGTTTTCCTTTCACGACCATTAATTTATTTAATCATTGAGCTCAAACTTGCTGGCAAACACACTCTATTCATACAAATGTTATGGCTGAAGTTAGAAAATCACATTGTTGAATTTCACCAGTGTTAACCAAATGACTCTCTTTCAATTCGAGAGTTAGATTTTGAATTGATTTCTGAATTCTTTAAAAATCATTGATCTTTATTGTTTGATGTATACATATACAGTTGAAGTCAGAATTATTATCCCCCCTGAATTATTAGCCCACCTGTTTATTTTTTCCTGAGTTTCTGTTTAATTGAGAGAAGATTTTCTAAACACATTTCTAAACATAATAATTTTAATAACTCATTTCTAATAACTGATTTATTTTATCTTTGCCATGATGGCAGTAAATTATATTTTACTAGAGATTTTTCAAGACACATTTACACAGCTTAAAGTGACATTTAAAAGCTTAACTAGGTTAATTAGTTTAACTAGACAGGTTAGGGTAATTAGGCAAGTTATCTTATAGCGATAGTTTGCTCTGGAGACTATCGAAAAAACAATTAGCTTAAAGGGGCTAATAATTTTGTCTTTAAAATGGTGTTAAAAAAATTAATAACTGCTTTTATTTTAGCCGAAATAAAGCAAATAAGACTTTCTCCAGAAGAATAAATATTATCAGACATACTGTGAAAATTTCCTTGCTCTGTTAAACATAATTTGGGAAAAATTTTAAAAATAAAAAATAAATAAAGGGGGGCTAATAATTCTGACTTCAACAGTATATAGAAAATAAAGTGCGTCTCAGACCAGACTACTGCGTTAAATTAAAATTTCCCTGCCGTGTCTTTAAAATATGAAAATGTATGTAACATCAGTATTTCAATGGAGTTTCTGTGCTAGCCTGCGGCTATAGACGACGCTACACAGCCAAAAAACACTCATCTCGTTTTATGCTTGAACAACTAAATGAATGCTTAAGTCTATTTAACTGATTTAATTACATTACAACATCAATGCTGTAATCAAGTAGTTACATTAACTATTAATCCAAAGTTTATCGTTGTCTGAAAAGCATTAGCAGTGCACATGGAAAGAAATTCAACACAGTAACACAGTTAATTACCCTAGGAAGATAAAGTATTTAATTCATCCCATAGAAAACATTCTGTACACTTAATAAAATGTGATTTACTTTGAATTCAGCATCTGTTGTGTGCCAAAGTCCCAAAGGTGATTCAGAAACAACATTTTATTGACTTTATTGGACCAAAGCCTTAAACGTAAGCTAATCTAAAACATTAACAGCCTTGCCAACACTGGTATTTCTTCTGAAATGAAAGAAATCTTGCTAATTATCTTAATAAGGTGTCATTTTTAAAAGAGGAATTTCAATATTCAATGTTTTTCAATTCAAACTTTGCACAGTGAAATGAATAACTAAAGCTTAACAAACATTAGATTTAATAAACAGAAACACACACACACACACACACTTACACATGCATAACAGCACATGCTAACAAAAGAAACTCATAAATATCTTCTTTTCCAAAAATCCAGGTATTGAACTTCATTTCCGACTCGTAACCTCGACTTTAGGAGCACTGCATAAAACACCTGCAGTATAACACCTGGCTTTGCAGATGTTTTGCATGACGAAAGATGTTTTTGTCAGTAGATTGATTTTCTTGAGACATTCAGTGTTTTCCTTTCACGACCATTAATTTATTTAATCATTGAGCTCAAACTTGCTGGCAAACACACTCTATTCATACAAATGTTATGGCCTTAGTTAGAAAATCACATTGTTAAATTTCACCAGTGTTAACCAAATGGCTCTCTTTCAATTCGAGAGTTAGATTTTGAATTTAGGTCAGGAAGTTGAAGTGAAATGACAGGAACTAAAATGTACTGAATTGCAATGGCTTATATGCACACAGACTTTTAATTTTCAGTCAGGCAACTCAAGCATTTCCGTTGAACTGTCCTGCCACGTTTAAGATCTAATTTCTTAAAAAAATCAATGATCTTCATTGCCTGATAGATATAGGATAAAAAGTGGGTCTCAGACCAGACTAGAAGCGATGCATTAAATTCCATTTTTCCTGCATGTCTTTAAAATATGAACATTTATTTACCATCAGTATTTTTATTGGAGTTTCTGCACTAGTTTGCTGCTACTAAAGGCGCTAAACAGCCATCAGTACACAGCCGAAAACCTTTCATCTCTTTTTTCACTTGAACAACTAAATGAATGCTTAAGTCTATTTAACTGATTGTATTTTAATTACATTACAACATCAATGCTGTAATCAAGTAGTCACATTAACCTTTCACCGGAAATTTATCATTGGCTGAAAAACATCGCACATAGCCCATTGAAAAAAAAATTCAACACAGTAACACAGTTAATTACCCAAGGAAGATAAAGTATTTAATTCATCACATAGAAAACATTCTGTAGACTTGATAAAATGTGATTTAATTTGAATTCAGCATCTGTTGTGTGCCAAAGTCCAAAAGGTGATTCAGTAACAACATTTTATTGACTTTATTAGACAAAAATCGTAAACTTAAGCTAATCTAAAACATTAATAACCTTGCCAACACTGGTATTTCTTCTGAAATGAAAGAAATTTTTCTAATTATCTTAATAAGGTGTCGTTTTCTAAAAGAGGAATTTCAATATGTAATGTTTTATAAATCAAACTTTGTACAGCGAATTGAATAACTAAAGCTTAACAGACCTCATTAGATTTAATTAAAAGAAACAAACACACAATCCCACATGCAGAGCAACACATGTTGACAAATCAAACGCATAAATTTCACAACTTCTATTTTTTTTCGGTAGCAAATGGCACTCACCCAGCAACTGCCATTGTGGTCGACATGCTAAAAACTGCTTATCTGAACTATGTCTTAGTTTACAATGTTTTTTAACACAATTATCCCTGACACAGACAGCACAATGGTAATGTACTCTTTACTGTTGTTTATTTCTATGTATCTAATCAACCATAAAGATTGCATATATGTAGAGGTAATGAATTCAAGCGCACATTATAAATGAATGTTGTCATCCTCCACATTTTGCACAAGACAAAAAGGCTGAACATGAGAGAGTAACAGGATCGCATGGGTCATACGAAGTGTTGCAGAATTCTGAAGACTCGTGCCCCCTCTCTTGGGGTATTTGACAAACTGACACCCCTTTAGATCGAGTGTCAACCACAGTCTGTCAAATACTCTAAGAGAAGAGTCTAGATCAGGAGGAGAGAGACGGGGTGTGCTGATGGACCTGAGAGATGAAAGGAAAAAAGGATATTAAATGCAGGTTTGCAGCAGGAAGGTCATTCAATTTTACTCCTCCCTCTTCCTCCTGCTTTTTTCGTCAGATGAAATTGCAAGCAACTGAATAATCAATGGTTCTTAATTTCCTAGAAACCTCTTTCAGGCTGAATTCAAAAGCGAGACCTTGAGTGGAAAACAGCACCTGGCTCAACATGTCAGGTAATTGTGATTTAAAAGGAAGTTAAAAAAAGAATATGTTTGTATGAAAGACTTAGGCAAAGCTTGAATTCAGTATTTCTCCTCTACCATGCAACTTTTTTGCACTTCCTTTTTAATTCTAGATTCTTATTTTACCTTTTTAGCTTGGATGAGATCAGTTCATTGGGTTCCTTGGTTCTTCGATGGTTGGAGCTTCAGGAGTCCTAAAGTGTTGACTCAATGTTCCGTGGGGAGGTGTGCGCTCTGGGGCACGTATGTATCAGGCGCTGATGAGTGTTTGTGTGAGGCGGACAGCATGTGTGTGATCACTAATAAGCTACCAGCAAAAGGAGGAAGTAAAAGGGGGAAGATAACACGTAGGCTTTAGAGCAGGAAATATCTGGAGGCTAAGAGACAACACTGTGTGTGTGTGTGTTTGTGTGTGTTAAAGTAGTTGTGAAATGTAAAAAAAAAAGTACTAAGTTTGCAATACCAGCCACAAACTCTCCCGCCAAATTACTCCACAAACTGTAGCCTTGCACACTTACAAATAGTTGTTCTTTATAGGCATTGATTGTTGCATGAAGACCCTTTAGCATGCACTGCAAAATGCTTCTGATTCAGATTATAAAAATGTTCTTCACCAAAATAATAGTTTGATTAACCCAAAATGGTTCTTCCATTGCATCACTGCCACTTTAAGAAGCGTTATTTTGAATGATGTGTTGAAAAAACAAAACAGGCAACATCTTTGATGAAATTTACATGATCCTTTGACTTTGTATTTGCAGACATACTGTCCTTTGACTCTAAAGCACAACACAATGTGACAATTCATTTAAAATATCCCATTAACTGCCCGCTCTAGCCAATAGTTGACCATATTTTGACTGTTTTAAATAACGGTTTGTCTTTAAATAAATTGGTCATACACTTCATATTTTCTAATCTTAATAGTATATATATTAATTCCGGTACTTTTACCATAAACTGGCATATCAATCATTTGGTAGAGGCTGATATTTTAGAAATAATAGGATGTGATTAAATAAAATGCATTGAGTGTTAACTAGTAACATTACGAGTTGAAAAAATTGGTCTTACACTTCATATTTTCAGATGTTTTATAGTATATGTATTAATTCTGGTACTTTTACTATAAACCAACATATCAATCATTTGGTAGAGGCTGATATTTTAGAAATTATGGGATCTGTTGAAAAACAAAAACTGCATTGAGTGTGTAAACTAGCGACATTAGGAGTTGAATGCAGTCCAATCCAGAATGCAATCCAATTTTTTTTTTTTTAACTTAGTGGGGCAGTTAAAGGGATATAGGTAAAAACGCAGCTGAGAAATCAATACAGAAAATTCCTTTGCAAGAACATTATAATGTTCTGTATTTTTACAGGATTTCTTTTATTGTGCACAATCTTCAAATTTCAGACACTACACGTACTCAAAGTTATACACTATTCATGCTTGAGAGTTAAATACTTGTATATGAACAATATTTGCAAAAAAGTTTTATTTTAAACATTATAATATGAGAAACGTGTAATTTAAAAAAATGGGGCAGAAAAGTCTAACTAAAGTTCATCCTGGAATAAGAGTTTGATTTAGTTTTTACTATTTAAAGTTATGAGTTACCAGAAAATGAAAATTGTCATCATTTACCCACCCTTCAATAGTTTAAAAACCTATTTGAGTTTCTTTCTTCACAAAAGAAGATATTTTGAATAATGCTGGCACCCACTGACTTCCGTAGTCATTTTTTCTTAATTCTTTCATAGTGTGAACAACATTAGTTTGAATGTGCTTGAACAGCCACAGAGGGCAGCTTCTTGCAAGGACAAATTCCTAAACCCAAAGTGTTCTGTGTCATTTTGCAGGTATCAAAGCAGAAATGAAAACTTCTGCTCTCTGTATCTCTGCTCAATTGGTATAATAAACTGCATGAGCGTAAAGGCGTAGTTCAACCAGAACTGAAAATGTTGTCATAGTTTTTTTTCACTCTGTTTGTGTTTCTCTCTTTATTATGTTAAACACAAAAGAAGATAAATTGAAATAAAGGTAGAAACCTGGAACCTCTGACTTCCATAGTATTTGTTTTATGCTATGGCAGTCAGTGCTAAAAGAATTTCAGATTTCTTCAAAATTTCTTTTTGTGTTCAACAGAATAAAAAAACTCCTGAAGTTTTAGAACCACTGAAGGGTGAGTAAATAATGAGTAAATTTTCATTTTACAGTAAACTGTCCCTTTTATTCCCAATATTACAGTCGATACAGTATATATGTACACCTATCTATAGACCCTAATCTCAATGATATCAGGACACCAACATCTAATGAAGTAACACTATGTTGAAAATGAGCAATATGAAATATGAATACGTGCGATATGGCTGTGTATCGACACTGGTGGGAGGCATGTGTTGACACTAGGCTGCAGCCCAAGTGCCTTAGTGTCCCACCAGTGATGATATACAGCCATATCGCACTGCTACTCATGGGATGTTGCATTTATGCAACGGTTCGACGGCATAATCGTGTGTTTAAAAAAAATCAAACATGGAGAGTTTAAAAATCCTTTTTTATGCGGAACTACTTTATTCCACCATTCATTTACATCTGCACTTCAGAACAGCAGAAACCATTGCTACTTCACCAACGTCACTTTAGAGCTAATTTTTGAATGACTCTCTAGCGTAATGTCTAAAGTTATGACAAAACAGGTGATTTTGCTGACATTTTAATATTACAAAGCTGAACGGCATGAAATATAATAACTCTACTGGGATTTCCCAGTATTTCTTTGTTGCAATCGGTAGATCACAATAATTAACCCCGAAAAAGCCAAAGCATTGCAAACACTACCAGATTATTGTTGTGTTTGCGATAAGGAAAAATGCCAAACACATGCGGGCATTTCTTTTTTCTTTCTGTTTACTGTTCACTAGTTTGCAGTAACGGGTCATTAGAAACAGATGGCCAACCAAAAAGTAACTCGGGTAACTCAGTAACTCAAAATACATACATTCCTGATATCGTTCGAGGTTACTAAAGTAACCCTTCGTTCCCCGAGGAGGGGAACGGAAGCACTATAAGTGGATTTGATTTGTAAAATCCACGCATTGGGAGGTTCGGTTCAGAAGCTACTCGTCTGAAAGAGTATTGAACGGGCCAATTAAGAATGAATTGGCAGCGCAAGCCTGCGCAGGTGAGCGGCATAAGCAATCAACTGAGTATATAAGCTCACCTGGCGCCAGCAGACGCTATCCTTTTTAAGCTGAAGAGACTTTCAACAGCTAAGGGACAGTCATTATGGCGACGGAGTATAGTGCTTCCGTTCCCCTCCTCGGGGAACGAAGGGTTACTTTAGTAACCTCGAACGTTCCCCTTCGGGGGGAACTTCAGCACTATAAGTGGATTTGATTTGTAAAATCCACGCATTGGGAGCCCATTGAAAGCGCCATAATGACTGCACCTTACCAACACCCCCGATGAGGAGATAGTCAAGCAAGCGTGACGCACCCGCATCATGGGGGGCGCGGTCCTCCAACGTGTCCCTGGCCCTAATTTATCCTACTTCAACAGAAGTTTTACGGATTTAGATATATTTTTTGGGAAGTCGTGAGCATCTAGATAATTCTAGGAAAATACGACAGTACGTTGGGAAGCGTGCAATCCCGATAGGGAGGACGCTGCGGAGGCCATCCGTTACCCAAGGGGGGATAGATGGCAGAATTTACATATGGACTAGCCCTAAAAAGGGGGAGTACGCATAGCAAAAGAGTGGTTAGCGGGGAGGGAAGACACGGGTCCGCCCAGGGGGGGGACTTAACCGTGGCTGAATAAGCATATGGGATCGCCTAGTGGGGATCACGCATAACAGGCACCTTTACCCAAAACGCGGGCTGACCAGCGGGCAGACCTACAACGTAGTGGGCCAGCAAGTGACTCCTCCGCTGAGTCAGTGCTGGGGGCCACGGAGGAATCTGCAGGGCTCACCTGACGGGGAACTTTACTGACAGATAAAAAGGCGCACGTATCTCCGTGTTAGGGAAAATGGCGCAGCAAGCGTGTTTCAACACCCTACCGAATTGTTTCCTCAATCACCAAGGGTTACCTAATACCCTTGAGGAAACCGGCTCCACTCGCAGATTGTAAAACCTTGCAAATGTGTTGGGTGTCACCCAGCCCGCAGCTCTACAGAAGTCTGTTAGAGGGGCGCCGCGTGCGCGCGCTCGAGAGGATGCGAAACTCCGAGTGGAGTGCGCACGCGCTCTCGGGGGACGCGGCTTATCTCGGCTCTGATAGTGAAAGAAAGGCATCCACAATCTAGTGGGAACTTATTTCGGTACGGCACTTCCCTGCTGCCGACCGTTATAACAGACGAAGAGCTGCTCAGATGATCTAAACTCTGAGTGCGGTCCGGATAATACGCAAAACGCGAACTGGACAATAAAGAAGGGCTGGGTCTGCCTCCTCCGAGGGCAGCGCTTGCAGGCTCACTACCTCGTATTAAAACGGAGTGGTAGGAACCTTGGGCACATATCGCGGGCGGGGTCTCAGGACGTGAGAGAAGCCAGCCCAATTACAGGCACGAGTCACTGACCGAAAAATGCCTCCGGGTCCCCGACCCTCTAATCGATATCAACGCGACCAGCAGAGCTGTCTTCAGGGACAGAAAGATACTGAGTCGAGGATCGAAGGGATCTGACGCGGCTTGTGTAGCGAGGGCGAGATCCTAAGAGGGCATGAGAGGGGGCGGGATGGATTAATTCG